GCTTTGAAAATAAGCTTGTTCAGGCCTGAAGAATAAACGAGTGACTTGTTTCCTTCCAGATGAACACCAAAAGGACAGAAGTTTTCCCTTTAGAAGTTGCCCTCTTTCAGGCTCAGTATTATCTTTAAATGAGATCCAGTAAGCGTTTCCATATTCTTCAGGCTAGATCTCATCCTTCCTGCCAAACAGGCAAAACAAGTGCTGCTTGCACTCAAGAATTAGTTTATACATTGATAGTCTTGATGGGGTAGAGGGCTGGCTACAGGGATCTCTCATTTGCAGTCATTTTACAGAGTAATCAATCAGTATCTTCTCACCCAACAGGAAAATAAGAAATTTTACAAGAAATTAATTCCTGTGCACTTCTGACATGGCTGGGGATGTCCTTAAGCCGAGCAGCTATAATGTCTGATCCAAAGTCCAGGGAAGTTAACCTGATATTCATGCAAAGGCTCAGCTAGGATCAGTGTGATATCTCATGATAACACTGATGACTGCTGAAATAAATGCAGGCTATCCTGCTCGAGTTCTCAGCCAGATACAAAACCTGTATTATTCACTCAGTCTGTATATATCTATTACCTCATGATCTATTGGCAATAAATATTCTATACGTGCTGTAACAGGAATAAAGTTGTTGAACTACTACACCATGAATCCACTCAAAACAACTGATCATTTCATACGTTGTATGAATTTCATCAATAATGGAGAACTACAGCACAAGATCCAAAACAAGCCAATTTGCTGAGAAGGAAAGGGATTCTGCCTAACTCTGTAAATCCTTCTACTTCTCTGCTCCAACCCAACAGGTCAGCTTAAAGCTCTGCTACGGACAGTTCATCATAATGTTTGACTTTGTCCTGAAACAGAAGTGCTTATGTTGTATAGCTACAACTGAGAATCTGTTTATCATAGCACTGAGAGGTTTCACTGCCCAAGTGATTCACGCACAGCTGACCAGTTCTCAGATTCAGAGGTTCTGCATGCCATCTTATGTCCCCAGTCTTAATTTCACTCAAAGTATTCCCTAACACGTAAACCCTATTAATACTCAAGCAGTAAATTCTTCCTTTCACACCACATCTGCCATCCTGCTCTTTCCTCATAGTACAACAATAAAGCTTACATAGAAAAGCACTACTGTGAGTTAGGATTTGGATTCTGTTCTCCAGCTGCTGAAATAACTCAGGAGCACCTGAGTTTAAAAATACCACGTTATTTCACTGCAGTCCTTCACATTATGTAACTTAGGTGAAACAACCGTGTTTATCAGTTGTTACAACAGGATTATATGGTTGGACTCGATCTTAAAGGTCTTTTCCAACCTAAATGATTCTATGATTCTATAGAAACTACACAACAATGCAATCTGAAAACACAAGTCCCAAGCCACAATTACCATTTTGTAATTGCTTTCAACAATGCTGATTTCTGACAATGGTGTGTTTATACTCCTCCTTACATATTTGCTTTTGCTGAAGTTTTCTTTACTTATCTTGAGGTGAATCCTAGGTTATGGAACTTGATATCTTAAATGGAAAAATTCAAGAGAAACTGAGTGATACAGTTTGACAGTTTAAGCTGAATTGCAAAAAAAGGCAAAAGCAAAGCTATTTTTTTAAATGGTAGATGAGAATGATGAAGTGCAAGGCAGTACTGAATAGGACTTAGCATCTTTGTTTCACAAAGGTGCCTCATTTGGTCTCCATACTAAATATTAGTTTGCACAATTATCAGAAGTTCAATACCAAATTGTAATTGTGCCCTTTGTAACGAAGAAATTTACTGCCTTCAAAGCTAGCAATATTTCAGACAGCAACAGATAAATCTATATGATCCAATATTACTAGAACATAACAGAAACTGTTTTCAGGTACTGAATTATTCCAGTCCTGCACCTAAATTACATCAAGGCCAGCACATATTTAAAAACAAACTTACTTGAGTTACAGATTTATTGCTTAGGATCTTGCAAAGGGAAAAACAACTTCAGTGCGAGCTAAGAAATCTCAAACTCCCATCTTCTGGTTCAAGTTGCAGTGATAAGCATAGTATTAACATGGTGCTCCTACGTGTCAAATGTTGCATTATTTAAACCCAAATTCTTTCCCTGGGAATTGAGAGCAAATTACTGAGATGACAAGAAATTCATAACATGATACACCCAATTCATGAATTCCCATGTTTCTTCCCCACAATCATACATTGCATTTTTTACTTCATGTTTCTAGTACTAGATTTTATCATCTTAACATTAGATGACAGTATTTATTTGTGTTTAAGACCAGTTCAAAGAGAGGGACAGTATCATGTTGTGGTGGTGCATCCCCCCCCGCCCCTGCTTTTTCTCTCTCTTCAACCGCTTTACGGTCTCAGGAATTCCAGCTGCAGCCTTTGCGTAGTGAGCTGGTCAGTTAAGCACCCTCTAATTGCACCAGAAACTCCTACATGGTTGAAGCAGAGAGACTCCTGTCCTTATTCAAATCTCCGTATTACGGCTAAGGAGAGGAGCGAGAACAAACACCTACCCCTGACAGCCTTGAAACACAGCTGTATCATCGTTACTGGAATTCCAGCAACTACCAACCCGAATTGTGGCTCAGATGGAAATTTACTGATGACTAAAGCCAATCATCTCACGATCCTATAAACAGCAGTCCCGAGTGAGGCCCTTTGAGCTCTCCTGGACTGCCACGGGCTGCACCAGCATCCCCCTCTGAGTGGGACGCCTCTCAGAGCTGGCAAAGCTAGCAAACTCCCAAAGTTTGCTACCATCAGAGGTCCATTACCAAAGACCAACAGTGGAGCCTGGGCTGAAACCCTTCGCTCCTTGAGGCTCAACCCTCACCTGCTGAGAAATGCCAAGACATTCTACACAAGCATTTCACTGAACTAGAGGAGAATTTTTAACAGGTATACCATTTATATATATATATATATATTCATGTTTGTGTGTATGCATGTGTGAATCAGTTTAAGTAGTCTGTAGATGTACAATTTAATTTCAAAGTGAGTCTTACACTGCTGCATTATCCTTATTCCTATAAACCATTGACCAAGTCTGAGAATAAGATTGGACCTAGCCGCACCTAGACTCCTCTGTGAAAAGGAGTTTAGAAAGCAAGGGGGTCTATTCTGAACCTCATGACTCAAAGGGATGGTCCTCCTTATCCCCTGCATACACAATCTCTTTGTAAATCATTCCAACTCAGTGTAACTTAATTCTCCTTTATGCATTTCCATGTAGTAATAGAGTGAACCTTGCCATCTTCGAACCTGTAACTAAGTCACTGTTTTGATCAATTTTGTCTAATCACTTTGTTAATCACTGATGACTGAGTGCTATTAAACTATTACAATCAAACCCTGTGATTTGCTACAAGTAAATTCTAAACTGCTACTAAATCAAACTGTGTAAAGCCACTCACAATGAATTAACATCATCATCAGGATTCACAAACCTGCATTCATGACACATGTCCCTCAACATAAGCTGAAAATTTACAAACAGGGTCCGGCCACATACTCAGTAACAACAGCCTCCTCATCAAATGGGGACCAGTTTTACTAAAGTACATCTTTGTACCTTAACTTTCAAATGTTTCTTCATTCTACACATATTTGGGCTTTAGTCTTAATTACCTGAGTTTAGAAACTTAGAACAAATAAGGGAATAATTTTGAACTGCCTTCCAAGTTCACTTTGCATGTAAATAGGTATTTGACGTTTTCTCACTGTCTTTTCACATATTCCTGCACTGATATTCCAAATAAAAAGGAGGCCAAAAAGAGGCGTGTGAGTTTGGTTTAATTATCTGAAACACTTCCTTGCATTGTTTAGTTGAGGGTTCAGCTTTAATCATATTTGTTGTGGCAATTGTATGAAACTTCAGTTTAATAGACAAAAGAACAGAAATGTAATACCCATCAGAAACATGAGAACAATTTCCATCTTTTTCTTTTTTATTTAACCACGTAAGTACATGTCAACAGTGGCATAAACTTCATAAAAATACAGTACCTTTTGTGCTGTAACACTAGTCACAATGTTTATATAAAGATTTTTTTCCTGCTTCCTTGAATTCAATTAACATTTTAAAAAGTTACTTCCCAAAAGCCCTTTTTTGTGATAGTTTCCTTATAGAAATTTTTCCAAAATCTATTCTGTAAAAGTTAAAAAGCTAATGCATTTTCAGCCATTCTCCCTCACCCTCTCAATAAAACAGATTTTAAAAAAATAAGAAGTCTTAGAATACCGATCAGTTGTCACACTACTACTTTATCATAGATTCCCACTTAATTGATACAGTTATAAGCGTGACGGATGCTATTCCTATAGCATCTAATATTGCTAGATGCTATTAGGGCTAAAAAGACCGGTCATATCAATAGACTGATGTCTGAACAAAACAAAACAAGCCAAAACAAAACCAAAACATGAATGACATACAGAAAAACATTAGACTTCAGAAGTCTTATACTGTAGAATCACAATTACTGTGATACTTCCCAACGGCAATAAACATAGAAAAATTCTATCAAGTCATTTAAATGATTAAAGGGTGTCTTTGCACTGGGTATCTTGGAAAGTGAATTCTCCAAATTCTTTATAACCGATAATGTTGGTGTGACACCGAGATGACAGAAAAACTGCAGAACCAGTCTAATATTTTTGGAGCAATTATACCCACACAACTGACTACACCCATACCACAACTGGGTTAAATTTCATTTTTCTTTAATGCTGATGATAAAATCCAGGCAGGATCTAATACATGGGGAAAGAAAATAGGGCATAAATTTTGAAAGTAATTTCTTATCAAGTTAGGCGCTGAAGGTCTAGTTAAGGCAGTGAAGGATTTATTTTAGTGTCTTTCTAAGGCTATGACAAATTTTTCCTGAATAAAGCATTTTCCCTTAAAAATTTCATGTATATTATGCCAGCTTATTCTGAATGTATAAGAATGCTAAAAATCCTTGGACACTGAGAAGCTAAACTATTGCTCACTGCAAATATTACCCTTATTAGTTGTCTTTTTTAATATCAATAAGATTCCAAGAACATGCACCTAAATAATGAAGTTTCAAGTCTGCCTACAAACTTTTCCATTTCAAAAGCAAGCTTAAAAGCATGTGTTAAGCAATCCAAACTGACAAATGTTCTTAATCCTCTCAAAAGAAAAAAATGTCTCTCTCTGACATGACTAGTGAAACTACATGACTTTTAAGAGAATTTCTAGTATCACTTTGTCCAGAAGGGAGATGGGTAATGAAAGTGACATGAGAAATGTGATGCCAGATGCTGCAGCACCATTCCTTTGTTCCTAGCTACTGGCACCAAAGCTTTAAACAAACTTGCTTTGCTAAGACATTCCGACAATCCCATTTCACAATATCATTGGTTTTGAGAATGGAGTTACTTTCCATAGCTACTTTTAACTCTTTTTGGATCAGTGTTAAATAAAATGTGCAAACATATAATCATTTGCATAGCAAATCTCAAGGGACTGACCCTGAAATAGAAATCCAAACTGTTAGGTTTAAGATACTTCTATAATCAGAATTCACTTAAAATGGTAAAAAATAAAGTACACATTTTTCCATTTTAAGTCTAGTAGAAAAGGTATTTCTGATTTAGAATTCTTATAGCTACTAGTTTAAAAAGTTAAAAGACTGGTGGTTCTTTGCATTGAAATGTTATTCCTTTGGAATCTTCAAGACTCTGTAATTGCTGTTTTCAAATACTGTGATGAAATACGGCCTGGAATCCTTGCTCATAAGGGTACATAAAGGAATTTTGCCGCTATTAGCGGGATCTTCGACATCCCAAATTTCAGGCATACTGCAACCAGGCCTAGAAAACATATGAATATGAGAAGAGAAATGAAGAAATAAGAAATGCCATCAAAAAACATACAGTTGCTGAACTCAGTTTTCTACACCCCCTATGAGTACTTGATTGCACCATCTGTATTTTTTTGTCTTTATACTAGAAATTCTTATCAGATTACAAAATCAATAAATATAGTAGTAATTTAAAAATAGTATTGAGAATGTGTAAAATTTGTCTGCTTTTGTGGTTACATAATTAATAAGAATTAATCTGGAAGAGGAAGCATATAAAACAACTCAAATGATACAATATACATTACCGGGGCCCTTAAAACTTCCTATAAAATGGATGGTGATGTTCACACTCCTAACATTTCTAAAGAAAACTCAGGAAATAAAACACCTTTTTAAAAAAAAAAGTAATAACTCCTTGGTTTTTTATTAAGGAACATAACCAACACCAATTCCCTGTACAGTTATCTTTCAAAGTTAGAATTACTGAGAATTTCCTAATTTGTCAAAGATACTAGCAAAGAAATAGAACAGACTCATTTCATTTTATTCTAAATGCGAAGAAAATAAAATAAAAAATCCAAACAAATCATGCTCTAAAGGCCAAAAAGAGAAATTGGGACAGCTTAAATGTGACAAAGTCTTCAGTGAGCAGCAATGGTCATAACATTTTGGTGCTCCAATTGTCTTTTACTCTGCATCTTTCATTCATACTAGACTCATTATACGCACACATCTGTGCTTGCCATCACAGAATAATGACTCATTTCCTTTGTGAATCTCTTCCGTATTTTATAGTGAAGCTTAAAAATACATACAACAGCTTTTTCAGGTGCACACAAAGTTGCCAATGTGGGTAAAGTTAATTATACTTAATATCTGGAGACACTGGACAAAAATGTATTTTGGACACTTCCAATAAAACACAGATCAACATTTCAAAACTACTACTTGATATGAATCTTAGACTACATATTTGAGCAGCATATCATTCTTTTGAGAGAGAGATTACTTACTTTTTTCTGCTTACACACAATGACTCTTCCAGAATATAGTAATTCACTCCTAGTTTTATCAATTCTCTTTTTACTTCTTTTGCAGGTTTTCGACTGTACATGGAATACACCACTTTAGTTCTGGCCCTTCAAAAAGAAGTATATAAAAGTTAGCTAGCAACATAGCATGAAAATGTAAGCTTTAACTTTAGCCTGGACAGGAAGGCTTTTTATTTCACAAGACAACTAGGCTAAACCAAAGTTTAAATTAATAGTGCCATTTGCTTTAACATGATTATTCCTTCACAAATATGATTCCAAGAAAAATGCGTACAGCCCTTTGATTTTTCTGTAGCAGGAGACAACTTTGTAACAAGAGCCATGGTTACGGTGAACAGAAAATGTAAAAATGTCAAAGCAATGCGTTCACCATATAATATTCAAGGCTAGAAACGACCTTGCTTGGACTGGAAGTGATCAGAGGAAACCATCTGCCCAGTCTCTCTGCAAAAGGTCACACTCACTGCCCTTTTTCGGACTTTTAAAATGCAGAGTGCAAGACCTGATGTCTGCCTATACTGAATACAATCATCACTTGTAAACCTTGATCCTGTTTATATTACCTAGTAATATCCTCCTCTGATTGTGCAAAGCATGATGTTGTTAACTCCTGTTCATTTTCTGATACTGTATCATCTCTAGCTTATTTTCCCCAAATGTGCCCTGTCCTATATTTTTGTAGTTAGAATAGAATAGAATATTTCAGTTGGAAGGGACCTACGATGATCATCTAAGTCCAACTGCCTGACCAGTTCAGGGCTGACCAAAAGTTAAAGCCAGTTAATGCCAGACACAGAACTAAGGACATAAGGCATATAAAATGAATCCCTTCCTTTTCTCTTTTATCCCTCTCTATTTTGTTGTAGTTTTTTTCTTAACCAGTTTTACTGAATTACCAAAAAATGATTCTACAATATTAAAATCTAAAAAAGAAATTAATGACCTTATCAGATAAATCAATTTCTATTTACAAAAATATCCTGACTTTGAAAATAACAAAGTACAAAACTCAGTAAATCCATTAAAAAAATTTCAGTTTCAACTAGTCTTAGTATTTAAATAATTAGATATATTATCATAAAAAAAAATTTCAACCAATCATAGAAAGCTAATAGGAATAACCAAACTGGCTATCTTGAGAAAAAAAAAAAAAAAATCAAGTCTGTCTACAATGTCAGGAGTAACCAGAATGAAGAAAGGATATAATAGTACATGTTAATTTCAATTCCATTTTTTAGTATATAAGTTTGAAGCCATATCTATCCTACAGTATACCCCTTCTGATGAACACAAATCCTGAAGAAATACTGCATGCATTTTCAATCTGACTAAAATAACAAATCAAGTTCTACAGGGTTTTAATAAATTTTACAATATAACATGATGCCGTTCCTACTGTATACTACCAACTTTAAGAGAATTAATAACAAATAAAAATAAATCCTCAACTTCGAAATTTACCTTAATCCTGCATCTTCATAGTGAGGATGATTTACAATAGGACGAAGTGTAGACAGTTTAACACTTGCCATTGTAGGCATTGCTCCTGCAAAAACTGCATCTGAAATTCAGAATGAAAGACACGTTTGAAATAAAGAATCAAGCAGTAAAAGCAGAGAAGCAATCTTCAAATACCTAAACGATAATCCTGTAGAAAAACATAAGGTGTAAAAAGGGAAAGGTACGCTTCTTGAAAAGGCCTTATATTGCACCAACAGGAGATGCACAAAAAAAATCACACTTTATGTTGTGGGGTTTTGTTTGTTTTTTTTTTTTTAAAACCTTGAACTGTATTAGATAACTAAACATCTAAGAATGGAGTTTTAATACATCTTATTTTTCTTGAATGGTCAGAATAACTTATTATGACAACACTTTTTTTGTCACTTCTTACACCATTGTCAAATGAGCAATAAAAATCTCAGTTCACTCCAGCTTCAAAGTGTTTTCCTGCTAAAAAGGTAACTACTTTGTTTCCAGCTAGTTTTCTGACACTTTTACTCACTTTAATAAAAGGACAGGAACATCCGCTTTGAATTCTCTTCTAGCAAAATGATGGTCATGGACCCACATACAGGACCAGTGTCATGTAAGCAAACACCTGTTTTAATTGAACTTTGCAAAAACCCATTTGCTGTAGAAATACTCCACCAGCGGCTAGAACCTCCAGACTGGTAGCCTGGAGTCTAACAAAGCAAGCTTTCGGCATTTTTTTCATTTGAGATAGCTTCTATATGGACAAGTATACATGACTAAACCATGGCTGTAGGATAGACCCATGGCAAAGCCACAGACAGTAGCAAAACCTCTGCAGTCATTTATACCAAGTTCTACAGTTACATCACACAGTAAATGGGGTACATCATACATTATTAAATAGTTTACCTTGTCTGGTATTGACTTTTATCCACTCTAAAAGTTCCTCCTGTGGCAGATTGCTAAATTCTCCCATGATGTTCCACTGAGTTTGAAGGTTTGCTGATCCCTCTATTGCCATCAATGCTAAAATAGCAAAGACCAATGTTTTGGGCTGGATTTTACAGAAGAGCCATCCAAACAACTGAAATGCAAGAATCAATCAATTTCTAGACAACAGTTCTGTAATGTTGTATGCAGCACAATTCATTTTTATTTCTCTATAAGGAACCTAACATATATTACAATATGAAACACCTCTGCTATTGCTTCACCATTAAACTTCAGTGAGACCTCATAAGAAGTATTCAGGTTTTCTGAATGTAGGGCATTATATTTGTAATTCTACAAAAAGAGACATTAATGCAGCTTTTAAAGTTGTAGTTCAAATGTCAAATTCTGCAAGTAAGGATGATTCAATAATGATAACTGCACTTTTTCAGTATTTTATCACCTATTTACATCAAGAGTTTCTAGCTGTAGTATACGGATTAGAGATTGTATTGCAAACTTCCGAAAACATATCAGAAAAACAGACTTTGGGGATATAAGGTTAATGTTGCTTTATATCCTACTTTTCCCTTTCTTGAACTAAAAAGGATGGCCCTCGCATTTTTTCCTACAGATTGTTTGCTGAAGGCTTTAAGCAAATACTCATCAATATGTGAAATGGGTGGTGAAGAAGAAAGAAGTACCAAATTTGCTATGTTCAACTTTAGTTTGAGCAAGAACACTTTATCTCATCCATATCTGACCTAAACCTTAAATAAGACAAAGTATGAATTACTTTTTCTATTTTTTTAAGATATTGTTAATTAGAAGTAAGGCTTCACATTTCAAAAATATCAAACCTGCACTAAACAAACACATTTCAGAGTACATTTATGCATTTTTTTATAATTAAAGTATGAAATGACAAAATAAAGTTTCACAGTAAAATCTCCCACTAGGTTGACTATACCAATTAGGCAGTGTATGCTATCTTTGTTATAAACTAACTGTAAACTACTTTGGATTATTAAAACTCTCAAGGACCTCTCCAAAAATACAGTGTACTCCACTCTCATCCTCACAGACTTGCTAAACACTCTAGCAAGAACAGCAACACTACCCAGGAAAACTTAATGTGCCAAATATGCCTGACCACTGTGTAGGTCTGAAAAGATGAAGAGAAATAAATTCATTTGTATGGTGCTCTACATAAGCAACAGCCGCAAAAATCTCACTTCAAGAACATACTGGAACTTCAGAATTCTTTATTGAGTTCCATGGCTTTTCAAATCAAAGAAAATCACATTCCTATCATGCTTTTATAAAACCTCATGAATGTTCAAAGTATCTAAGTCTACCACTGTTTTGCTTATATACAGAGCCTAGAATGGTTGAACACATATGCAATACAAAAGAAGCACTTATTTTATGGGATGCTGTTCCTCATGTGTTTTTATACTGATTCAAGGTTTTTTATTTGGTTTTGTCAAATTAATACGTTAAGTCTTTCTCCAGCTATTTCTTTGCTTTCAAAATTTCCACTCAGGATAGTATAATTCCTCCTGACAGAAAGAGGAAATGTGTGGATGTAAACAGTTATCATTTTTATTGTCCATCAGGTGCCACAAGCTGCAACACTGAGGTAATGGAAAGTACAGAGATTCATGCAATGGGCTGAAAGAACACAACATACAGAATTTCTTTTCCATGTGCAAAAGAATTCTAAGTCTTTTGCCAGTTTGTTCATTTTTTGTTTGTGTTACAAATGTCCATCTCAGGCTGACTGTTCACTAGTAAAAGGCTGTATTTTGAAAGGCAACTGATTAACATGTTATCTATCTATAGCCTCAAAATAAATTAATTATACTAACATACCACTGCAGGTAAACTTTCACGGTCTACTAGAGGAAAGGATAGTGCTGACCTCAATTATCATGAGATAGTTACATATGCTAAATTTGCTTAAATTTTTCTTGCACCTGTAAAGACAAGTTGCTGCTCACCAACTTATCCTTTATGCAAACATCTAAAAATTTACATAATGATGAGTGTACCAGGTGTTAATCAATCATTTGGCCACAAGTCTCATCCTCCCCTGCTCATCTCCATCACAGCAATTCTTTTGAATCAATATTGCACATGCGGTCAGATTTTTCAGCCTCAAACTACTACTTCTGCTCACCAGCCAGAAGAGAAAAAAGCTCACCAAAACCCACTTGATGTTTTCCTGAGCCTACAAAAAAAAAAAATAAGGAGTTTTCTTATCCCTTTGCTTGCTTAAGTCAGAGCTGTCTTAGAAGCAGTCTGATCTATAGCAGCTCAACAGCCTTACAGGCCAGTGTTTCTCTCAGGCTGAAGCCAGTCATCTATTACCTGGAAGAGTACCAGCAGCTCCCTGCTAAAGGAAGGATACATCAGTCAGACCAGAAAGAATCTGACTTGTCTTTTACAGGTATCAATCAGCATGAACCCAGGGAACACACCAAGCGAGAGAACCTTCACTGACAGCCAGACAAGGGAATTATGTTTTATTTTTAATTACATTATTCACCTAAAGTTGGGTACTCTTTAACACAGGTATGTACTTCTCCTAAGGCCCAAGCCAGGGCCAGGATAATCACAGGCCTTGTTATATGGGGCTGCTGGTCATTTACCATCTTCTGCACAGAACGACTGTCCAAACTGCAGTAATCTAAAGCCTTACCTTCCTGAGCATTCAAGACCTATTTCTTTCAAGCCAACTATGTTTCCATGACGCTGCAAAGGAGGATGAAAAAGTCACTGGACCTGAGCCATCTGGTCCAACAAGGGCAGCTCCCAGAACAGGTTATCATCTGCATTTGTAGCTTCCCAAGAAGCTTACTCTCATTCTACAACCATAGGAAACAGCAGAACAACCAAAGGGCCAAAATGCAGTTGGAAGCAGAAGAAAAGAAGATATTGACAAAATACTCTGAACCAGTCCTTCTTCCAATATTTACACAGTGATAACATGTGGCATCCTCCAAGATCCAAAATGCAGTGATTACCAAAAGCACCAGCTCTCATGAACTGACTTGATGACCTTAGTTGCAGTACTAAAACAAAAACCACAATGATCCAGGATGAATTTCTGTAGTGCTATTACTCAGATGCTTTAAAAAAAGAAATAAAAAGATCACCAGCTGAAAACTTTTACTAATTTGCCACGTAGCAGCTAACTTCCTATACAGAAAAAAGCAAACAAGGCTACATATTAAAGAAACCATTCCTAGCAGCTCATCTTTCGGTCATTACCAGTTGCAAGGTACTTTTTCCTATCTTGCAGAGATTATTTCTCTCCATACAGCAAAAAAACAGGCAGTTCAGATTTTATTGTTTTTCAATTCTCAGAAGGCTGAGAGGCCTTTTCCTGTGGTACACAACACAGCAATACTTTTAGTTCTAAACTTCACTAGAAAATTCTACAAAATTTTTTCAATAGTGACAGGGCAGAAAAGCCCATCATTTTTTTTTTCTAGGAACACACAGTTAAAACAAGAAGAATTAAGAACAAATTAACTTTGGACAGAATTAATTTATATTTTAATTGTTATCTAGAAATTGTATGTTAGAAGAAAATAGGCTTTCTTCTTTTTGCTCTTCTGTCTTTTGAAAAGCAGCTTCATTTCAAATTACTCAGAAACACCTCGTGAGAGTTCATTTAGAAAAATTTAACTACAGCGTAACTGCTATTACTTGAACAACCAGACCACCTAACAGGACACCAATATTCAAGAACAACTAAGTAAGAGCTGGGAAATGCCACAAGAACACCCGTGAACCTTACAGAATAGCAGGAGTGTAGAGGAAAAGTAAATTTCTCTTAAGTACCAATACTCAGTTACAAGATGGCTAAATAGAGTTACTTTTTAATGAGTTTTTGACACATTTTTAGCATTTTATACGGTCACTGTACCGATTCATTTGATGTTGGCAAACACTCAGCACTTTTACTTATGCCAAGTAACAAAACAGGCAACAAAAAGTGATGAGCACAACATGTAAGCAGACTGATACTGTGTAGCCTGTCCAGCATTATCAAGAACTGTCCTTCCTTGAAAGAACATCCAGGGAAGCAATCCAGTTTTCAGGGAAACAATCATTTGTTCAGCTGCCTTAACATGGGACAACTTTCTTTTCTTTCCATAATTCTGTCTCATTCACTCACCTTCCGGTTGTATTACACAGGTGTCAGATGTTCCACAGCCACTAACTGCCTTCACCATACAACGTTAATTCACCTTTAGAACAGGCTCCAACCACAGATATCGGAGGGGAAAAAAACAATCTGTATCGGGCATTATAGTCTGTACCATACTGCATATGTCCAAGGCAGCCAGAAAAAGGTTTTACATACACCACCAGTTCTGGCACTGCAGATTTTGAGTACTGAACTTTGTAATGTTGTTCTTTTATTTCTTCAATTTTCAAGAACAGCTAACCATAACGTCTCAGGCTTCTTATTAAAATCCTGATTTTAAAAATCCCAGCCATTGCTAGTTTCCCCACTCTGCCAAACATTTTTCTCTTTTCCTTCTGTATTATGTCCACACAGTTCTTAGCACTGTATTCTTTCTCCCACTCATCCTCAAGGTGATGTTCTCCATACAGACATTTTCACAAGTTCCCCATCTCATCTTCCCAATTTGTTTTCTTGTTAGTAAGCCCAGCTCACTATTAATCATTATCTTTCACTCTCAATGCGGGATACTTATTTCATGTGATGTAAATAACACTTTCTACAAAATCAGCATGGTTGAGGTTGGAAGGGACCTCTGAAGGTCATCTGGTCCAGCCACCCTGCTCAAGCAGGGTCACCTAGAGTCAGCTGCCCAGGACTGATGTTTCCTGATGTTCAGAGGGTACCTCCTGTGTTTCAGTGTGTGCACATTGCCTCTTGTCCTGTCACTGGGCACCACTGAAAAGAGCCTGGCTCTGTCCCCTTTACACCCTCCCTTCAGGTATTTGTACACATTTATAAGACCCCCCTGAGCCTTCTCTTCTCCAGAGAGAAGTCCCAGCTCTCTCAACCTCTGCTCACAGGAGACATGCTCCAGTCCCTTAATCACCCTTGTGGCCCTTTGCTGGACTGTCTCCAGCATGTCCATGTCTCTCTTGTACTGGGGAGTCTGGAACTGGAGCCAGCACTCCAGCTGTGGGTCCACCAGTGCTGAACAGAGGGGAAGGATCACCTCATCAACCTGCTGGCAACACTCCTCCTAACACAGCCCGGGATGCTATTGGCCGCCTTTGCAGCAAGGGTACATTGCTGGCTCATGTTCGACTTGGTGTCCACCAGAACCCCAGGTCCTTTTCTGCAAAGCAGCTTTCCAGCTCGTCAGCCTCCAGTATGTACTGGTGCCTGGGGTTGTTCCTCCCCAGGTGTAGGACTTCGGTGCTTCCCTTTGTTGAACTGCATGAGGTTCCTGTCAGCCCATTTTTCCAGTCTGTTGAGGTCCCTCTGGATGGCAGCACATTCATCTGGTGTACTAGCCACTGCTCCCAGGTTTTGTACCATCAGCAAACTTGCTGAGGGTACACACCATCCCATTATCCAGAACATTAACAAAGACATTGAATAGGATTGGACCCAGTATTGATCCCTGGGGTACGTTGCTAGTTACTGGCCTTCAATCGTACTTCATACCACTGACCACCCTTCTCTAGGCCCAGTTGTTCACGCAGTTTTCAAGCTACCTCCCTGTCTGTTTCCCAGACAAAGGACTGCCTACCCTACTTTTGCTGCAACTGTATAGCTTCTAAAACAGCTTTTTAGATACAGATTCAGTCAAGTCCACTTCTCAAAAACACAGATACTGAAACATGGAAAGCCAATTCTAAGATCTTTTATACCTGGAGAAAATCTAGTAATGTTTTATGTTCAGGGTAGGAAAATTAAATCTGAGTTAGGCATATGACTTCTGATTTTTAAGGCTGAAATTTTTTCAACATGCAAGACTTCAAAACTATACTTCTGGAAAGAATTAATACACAAAAAATATGCAAGGCACTAAGCTCTAAAGAGCTGTGAAAACACAGCGTAAACAAGGTCAAACACTGTTTGGATAAAATTAATAGTCAACAAAAACTTTCAATGGCATAGAACTGTGTAAATACACTAAAATCCAGTGCATGTGTGTCTGCTCAAGCTCAATACACAGCATATTAACTTGTGTAATAATGCAATTGGACAAGTGGCATAAAACAGGGCATTTTATGTATTTGGGGAGAGGGGAGAATGGAACTTGTGTAACCACATTTTTCAACAGGCAATATAATCTGGTTTATTTTTAACTGGTACACTCAGATTCAGCAATTACACACACACAGAAATTTGTTTTAGGACAAATATCTGGGTAATACTGTAAGCACTTGGATAGCTACAGGATTAAAAAAAGACCTTACCTGTTTTGAACACACCAAGGAAGCCATAACACATAGATGTGGTGTCAAAAACAGTTTTAGTCTCATAATTAAAATTGCTAGGACACTGTATGCCAACAGCTGCAATGCATGGTATACCAGCTGCAAAAAAAAAAAAAAAAAAACCCAAAAAACAAACCACCATACAAAAGCATATTTGCATACTTTTCATTTGTGTCTTAAACATACAACTTCATTTTCAGTATAGCTTAAATGACAAGATGTCTGAAAAAGACTCTAAGTCAAAGTATCGATCTTCACATTTCAGACAGCGACAAGGACTTTGTTATCTTTTTTCTAAAGTGTACGTAGTACACTAAGGTACGGAACAACAGGAAGGACAAACATTAACAATAAAACCAAAAGGAGCTGGAGAGATGGCTAGCTATGCAAAAGATCCTGAAACATAAACAGGCAATAACATATGTAAAATTTCTTGCATAACCTCTTTATAGGAGTGAGGAGACCTTGCTATTTAATACCCAAAATACTTAAGTATGAAATGAAAGTAGTAAATAAAATCATCCTTGGCACTCAGACAACCACAGGCAGCTTGCTTTAGTATTCTCAGAAAAGGTTAAAAAGCAGAGATGTCACTCACCATTCCTAACATTGAATCTATGTTACCTGTGGAAGTGCTGTGGTAAATCACAGAGGCATTTTTGCAATCAGTGCTTTTATCTAATTGATTGATTATCATATTTTGAATGGCACAAGATTTCTCCCATAGCACAAACCACAAATAAACTGCTGTTAAGAAAGTTTTGCACTGTCCTTGCTGACTTAATTGCAAATAAAGAAACCACATAAGAAAGCTGCCATTCAATTATATTTTTTGCATAATAATATTAAAAGAACAATGTGTAGAATTATTTTCATTATGGCATATTTCAAATCAGAATTTTAACATTATCAGTCACGTGAAGCCCTGGTAAAGGAACCAATCTCCTTCTCAGTCTATATGGGGAAAATGGAAGGTCCAGCATAATTTCAGTATCTTTGTACTGCTACAGCAAAAGCCTGAAAGACTCCTCTCTTGCACTGCCACCCCACCATTAGCTGATATATTCTTTTGTTCAACATTCCAGAGTTATTCTGGTGACATACCACACCCAATTTAAGACAAAGGAATAAAAGATGCAAATACTTACCTTCAAATAAACCACATATCAGGATCAGACCATTGCAACCTGTACCTCAATACTGAGTATTCACATTAACATATGAATAAAATTGTACAGAAAAAGAATCTTACCTCACCATGGTTAAAACGTTCCTCTCTGAATAAAAAAAAAAAAAAAGAAAAACACATTACTTGTTTATGTACTACAGAAGCACTGGGTTTACTTTGAAGTCATCTACAGTGGCTCTACACAACTGAACTAGTCCAGTAAGCATGAGTCAGCACCTGCACAGATTTTCCTCCCCTCTACAACAAGCTTTGAAATATATTGCAAATCAGTAACTATCCTCCTCAATCCCTGTATCTATTCGGAAATCTGAAAAATAATTTTAGCAGTTTTTTAATCACTTCCATCAATTATTTCATATACAGAATAGCTTATTTAGAGAATGAAACTTCAGTAACGTAAAAGTGGCAGAGCACTGGTAAAAAAAAAAAAAACAAAGAGTCAGTCATTTACTCAGGTACTACCCAGATTGGTTTTGGAGTCTCAGAAGGAAATACAAACGTGAAAAGAGTCAAAATCATGTACACTTGTTGCTCTCCAAAAACATCTGTGAAGACAGGATGCTGAATCCTGCTCACATCTGTTGAAATTTTGATAATGGCCATTATACTATGGAAAGCTGAGATCACTGAAATGATTAGTGATAAATTAAAAAAACCCAAGAAACTAAAAGATATGTCAGGGAAATGACAACATCCAACTGGACAAATGACTGCTCTTGAGCACAGCATCAACGACTGATGCCAAGTGGCTGTGACAGTTAAGGCATGTATTACAGATATTTAGAAAATAAAATTAATACAGTTGGGATCCCTTCCTAAAGATGAAACTTGGGTATCTTTATAACCTGGGAAAAAATCATGGGGAGGAAAGAATTTACATTCACTATTTATAGGAGAAAAGCGAATAGGCACATAAATAAATATTGGTTTAGGAACAGAGTAGGAAAATACAGGATTAAATAGAAAATTTGGGGTAAGAGTGTTAAGATGTCTAAAACTAAGTTTAGCTGCCGAACTTAGTTTTAAACATCCTATAAAAATACCCCATATAGTACATCCAAGCCATTCAGTTACTGAACTATACGTAATTTACCCTTCAAAAAGGACCAACTTAACGTAGAATTCTGAATTATTTAGCATATAGCAAATCAAATAAACTTCCAGCAGAAAATTCAGTTTTACACTAAAAAAGACGACAATATTTACCTTTCATATTGGCCTGCCTGCGATAAGACCCACATAAGATATTTAACTACCTGAAGAAAACAAGATCCAACAAAAAGTATGAATAAATTTTCAGAAGCATTCTAAAGCATTTTCAACATTTGCTAAATTAAATTACACCTGGGTAATCTCATTTTGAGATAATGCTAAGATAAAGACATGCAATGTTTTAGCTAAAAACTCTTTTTGAGGATGTTTAATTAGCCAGGCAGTTAGCAGTTATCCCATCTGTTCCTGTGTAAACTGTCAAGTTATTTTTACACAAATTATACATAATCAAATTTACAAAAACAGTTATAAACTTCACTTATAGTCCTCATCAGCTAAGTGACCGAAGTTTTTTTGCGCTTAACTTCAAAGCTAGTTTTATCACTGACTCAGGACTGGACCTTTGCAAAAAATCTATGTAAAGAGAACACAGAATTTTAAGCAAGTATTTTTGAAAACCTGTATTTTATGTAACTGCATTGGGTTTACATGGCAAGGTTTTGGCAGGAGGGGGGCTGCAGGGGTGGCTTCTATGAGAAGAGACCGGGGTTGCTCTTATGTCAGACAGAGCCAGCTCCAAAATAGATCTACCACTGGCCAAAGCTGAGCGCATCAGTGACGCTGGTGGTGCCTCTGTTGATAACATGTTTAAGAAAAGATAACAGACATTGTGCAGTAGCTTTAAGAGAGAGCAGTGAGAAAAATGGGACAGAAACAACCCTGCAGACACCAAGGTCAGAGGAGGAGGAGGTGCTCCAGGAGCCAGAGCAGACATTCCCCTGCAGCTTGTGGAGAAGACCATGGTGATGCAGGTTTTCCCCCTGCAGGCCATGGAGGGCCACGGCGGAGCAGATATCCACCCGCAGCCCGTGGAGCACCCCATGCCAGAGCAGGTGGACATGCCCTGAAGGAAGCTGCAACCCATGGAGAGCCCACACAGGAGCAAGCTCCTGGCAGGAACTGCAGCTCATGGAGAGGAGCCACACAGGAGCAGGTGTTCTGGCAGGAACTGTGACCCTTGAAGGCTGTTCCTGTGGAAAGGACCCATGCTGGAGCAGTTCTTGAAGAACTGCAGCCTGTGGGAGGGACCCATTGAGCTTGGAAAGAAGGGAGTGAGGATGAGGGGAAGGTCGTTTTAGTTTTGGTTTTGTTTCTCACAATCCTACTCTACTTTTAATTGGCAATAAATTAAATCAAGTCTTTTTTGCTCATGACAGTAAATCAGTGAGTGATGTCCCTGTCCTTATCTTGACCCATAAGATTTTTCAACTATTTTTTCCCCCTGTCCTGCTGAGGATGGGGAATGACAGCATGGCTTGGCAGGTACCTGGCAGCCAGCCAAGGTTAGCCTACCACACTAACTTCTTCCCATCTCAAAATAAATAGTGATCCCTTCAAAAAACCTGAAAAGTAAATTCAAGTAAAGGTGATTCACTAAAACAATCACTTACCCTTTTGACGATTACCCCAAAAACCACCAGAACAACGGGTAACAGCAGAGTCTTTATGTATCTTACTGGAGTCTACAACGGAAATAAACTGCATTAATTGCTTTCCATTCACCTATAATTACTTCAATGGTAATTTTAAAGAAAACAACATAAGAGTTCTTCCTTGAGTACAATGTAAATTCAAACATTCCACAAGAACAAAGCAAGCTTAAAGAAACTCAAATTTAAACTCCACCCAGCAATCACACTAGAGGTCATTAGTAAATGATTCCCAGTTCTTTGACAAGCCACCCAAAGACTGAAGTAGATTGTATTGCATCTGAATTTGAGCACTATGGGTTGAGTAACCTAAACATGTTCTAAATGCATATCTAGATACTGATGAACTAAAAAAAGTCTACTAACACCACATTAAGAATCTTTGATGCTCTTCTGTAGTCTAAATCTACCACACAAGACTCTGCAGCTCTCAGTACATTTTTCATATACTCAAAAACAGTTACTGACAGCCACATAAAATCTTAAGACTGCGGAACTGTAACCTTTCATTTATCCCTGAGCAAGCACTTCTTTCACTCAAGCAAGCACATTTCTTAGATCCAAAAATCAAGATAGTTTTGGTTTTTAGTTCATTTAAAAGCAGTAAAACCAGTTAAATTTAGCTTAAGTTCATTAATGTCTCTACATTCACAAGTAAGCACTTGAACTTATGACGGCAGTAGGATGTTATGGCTCTCAAATGTTTTAAGTTATAAATTAAGATCAAACAAAAAGTTCCCTCTTCCATAATCATCTATTTTGATCAAATTACCTCTTTTTCCATGAAGTCAAACTCTGCAGCACAGGTATACATTAATGTATCAAAATCCTTGTAGCCAATAAATTTAGATTTTAATATATTTCCTATATGAGCCTGGTAGGATATACAGGAAAAAAAGCTGTAGTAAGCAAAAACTGCCCTGTTTTCCACAACAAAGTAGTTTAAATATATATGAGAAAATATTTTTAATTAGAACAGAAATTTATACCATTTACAATATTGTTGTCAGAGCACCAAAAATCTATTTCTGGTATATTAAATGACACCTTTGAGTGTAACACAGATTGGACTGTGTTAAATAAAAAGCAGAAAGCAGCAGAAAAAGAGTGTTACCATTGCAACTGGGTTCAACAAGAGTACAGTTTTGTATACTCATATTTTAACATATGAGCTTCCCATCTTTTGCCCCTTGATGCACATCTGCAGATAGGTTAACAGTAAAATCTGACAATAAAGGGGCTCAAGTGAAGTGAGGAGTCCTAGTTACAATAAGCATTTCAAAACTGTCTTAAAAATTAGCTTCAGAGGAAAATGAGCTAAGATATTGAGTAAGTAAAGAAAAGACGTAGGTAGAAGATATCCAAAATAAACAAAGATCTATAAATCCACATTTAAAAACAAACACACAGTGCATTTACTAACTCAATAGTAAAGACATTTGTCTTTCCACAAACTTCGGTAGTAACACCTCAAAGTGATAATACATAATGAATGACAAAGCAAATATGCAATCCCTCTCCCATTTCTGCAAAACAAATCTTGGAATTTCAGGGAAGTATAGCAGTAAGATGCCAAAAATCAAAATATTAAGAATTAAAAAATTTTTCAAAGACACCAACCAGATACTCAGATAAGAGAACTTACATCATCAGCTATTCCAAACACTAAAGAAGTTAAGTATTTCAAGGTGACTGTCCCAAATAACCAGGCACATCCTTCAATGACCTTAAAAAAATATATATTTAGAATGAAATAAACATGTCTCAACAAACTTTTAAAGAAACCTTTTCTTTTTTAAAAGGCTTATTAAATTTAGCTACTAGTTACAAACTCTCCTATGTTATCACCAATAAGTACAGTCATTTCTAACCAATTGCACTTCCCAAATTTCAGTACACCAGGGTGTTTTAAGTTTTTTCGTATTTTCTATTACAGCTGAAATAATTTTGCACAACTGATTTATATTACGGCTGTACCACTGCACACGACATCGTAGCAGAGGAGGTACCAAAGTTAACTTTAAATAGGGGCAGCCTGACTGTCAATTCCATCTGTTTTGCATACATCAGTATGTAGTGCTTATTTCCCACCAATAGCCTCCCCGTATTATCAGGTTGTACTACTCTGGTAATTCAAATCTTCAGAGGTATTTGCTGATTTATAGTACCTTCTCAAAATAATCTCAAGTTTGAACTTGAAGGAAATATAAAGAAAGTATGTACAATTACTACTTTTAGTTACACGTAATTTTTATGCTTGTACCAGAAAGATTAAATTCTTGGCCATCTAGCTTAATCTATCTAATTCTTTATAAAACCGGGTCAACTGAATAGGACAACCTGACTCAGTATCTTGTATCAGCAGATGTTTCAGAGAGAATATAAACAACAACATACAAACTGGCCTTTACCCTAATGTAACCTGGGTTTTTATGTGTCAACAGGTTGCATTCAATCATCCCATTTAATGGCAATTTGCAATGAACCTAATACCCAGGAGGTACCTAATCCTTTTCTGAATGCCTTTTTTTTTTTTTTTTTTCTTCCACAGTATCTTTCTTCTCTCTTATAAGCTTATTGCTGCTAGCATAAGGGGCACTAAATAAATGATAATTATACCCTACTTCTATTCACTGGCTTTGGCATATTTACCTTTATTTTACAAGATTTAGAATTCTAACCTATCTTGAAATCTCAGCTATTTAGCGATTCTACATTAATAATTATTTTCATATTCTCTGTACCTAAATTTGATGGTAGCACATTTTGGGGGAAGGCATTCTATGTTTTTTTTTTTCTTTTTTAAGTAAGACACATTGACTGAGGCTGCATGCGATATTTAGGATGCTAAGTATGAGTTTACAAAATAAAAAAAATGTTTTCTGCATTCTCTGCAGTTCCTTCTCCATGACTTCCATCATGTATTTTCCTTTTTGATGCCTGCTCAGTAATGAATTGATATGTTCAGAGAAATTTTCATAAGAATACCATGATTTCTCTGCTGAGTGGCAAGGACTTATTTAGGATCAGTTATTTTATATAAGTACTTAGGGTGGTGGTGGTCATCTTTTGAAAACTTACCATTTAATCCCACCCTTTGTTTCTTACCTTCTAACATTCACGCCTTATCCCATGGAGTTTATTTTCTTTTATAGTTCCTATTAGATATCTTCCCCAACAGGTTTCTGAAATTCAGGTGCATTACATTCACCCACACCCCCTTATCTGCATCCTTCAAAGTAGTCAAATACAGTTGCAAGGCATGACTTCCTTTCAGAGAAGCTGTATCGGACCTATCTCATTACAGTGCATGTACATATAGGCTTAACAACTTCATCGCTGTTGAAGTTTTTATTCTTCTACAAAAGTTAGACTTACTGGTCTGCAGTTCCACAAATGCCTTGGATGTCCTTTTTATAAACTGACGTGAGATTTGCCTACGCTCCCATTTCCCCTGGTACCACAGCTAACTACATTGGCAGGTTATACATGCACTGCAGTTTGTTATAAATACATTTTTTAATTCCTTTATATTCTAATTCTTTTATAACTACTGTATGAATTCCATCCAGTTTTGCTAACAGGTTACCCTTCATTTAACAAGAACACCCGTCTTAAGCCAGGCATAGTCTCAGTAGGCTCCATTTCAAGTGTTTTTACAAGGTAATGTTATGTCTTAAGCAGCAAGTTGCTTCTCATGTTTTCTACAGTGTTATAGTCTATTTGTCATAGTTTTGGGGGTGTCCTCCATATTTGGATATGACTCTTACTGCACTCAGACCCCACCCACACACCTTACAGTGTTTTATTCCAACTTGCTTCCTTTAGCTAGTTATGTAATTATATGTTGCTTGCTGTTATTAAAAAAATCCTAAAAAAAATTTTATAGGACACATTTTAGTGAATATCTAATGCAGTATCTTAATTGCCATTTCTGAAAGCACTGTTAGCGTTTTACTTGCATTTTCTAAATTGTTCTTTATTTTAAAGGTATTTTCATACAGATCTTAGGTTTTGTAAACAGGTTTAAGTTGGTAATTTAAAATTAAACGTGTTGCTGTTTGAAGGCTATTTCAATTTTCTGATATAAATGAATGTTTATGCCCCTTTTCTTCCTTCAGTAATTTAACATTAATTTCTGGGAATATTGACAATTTACTTAAAGACCATAGTTCAGCTGTATTTCTTGATTTTCAACTAATAGAAACTAAACCAGAAGTTGTTTCTGTATTTCATTAAAACAAACAAAAAAAAAAGTCATAGTTCTTTCTGAAATTCAAAATATATGAAACTCCTTACCCATAGATAGACTTCTCTTCTGCTGCTTTTCAAGACTTTTGGACTCAATTCAAGAATTCCCTGATAATAAAATCAATGTACATTTTCAGGTAAAATACAGTAATAACAAGATATTCCAGTACCCTGGATGAGGGGGTTTTTGTTTTTGGTTAAGCACCTGTTGTACCACACAGCTATTTATTAAAAAACCCTCCATAATTAATACAACCTGAAATATGAATGAATGTGTATTGTGATTTCACCCTGCACTGCCAAAACATGCCACATGAAGACTCTTACTGCAGTTTAAATACAATTAATGGAAGACTACTCTTAACAAGCAAGATTCTGTATTACAGAGTTCTAAGCTTCTTTAAATCAAAGCCAATGGGAAACTGAATTATGTCTGCTTCCACGAATGACAAGACACCTCTGAAGTAATAAATACATTACTGGCAGCATAATACAAGCAATTTTCAAACAAGGCAACAGAATAAGGGGGTGGGAGGAGTTACTGGTATTTTTCCATTTCACATTATGTTCCTCATTTTATGACAAAAGGAAGACTCACTCAATTACTTTGTTCATCAAATTAGCTTAAAGAAAAAGTGAGAACGAATTTAAAAGCTTTCAGAAACCCAGTCCATATATGACACTAAGACTGAGGCCACTATAGCACCCAAATAACAGACAAACAATAAATATTTTTTCCAAAGCAGAAAATAGATGAGAAATTCCATGTACCTGTACTTACGACATAGTTACAAAAGCTGCTGCAAGAAACTAAAGTGGGTTTATATCAAGCAAACTATACTACAGCAAATACCACTAGCCAAGGCAGCTTATTCTTAGCATAAGTGAGAGGTTACCACTCTTTCACCGATGGACAAAATATAAACAAAGAGGGGGGGATGGGACGACAAAAAAACCACTGAGCTCACCCCAAGCTTCTAGGAGAGGCAAAAAGAATCAGAAATGGAGATGATTTGTAGTATGCTAACCTAGATCTGTTCACACAACCTTATCTCCTATTTCCTATGTATGTAATCCCCTTAAGAGAAACTGTATGAAACTGAAAAAACTTGGGGGTTGTTCTTCCTGTTTAAGGAAAAATTAAGATAGTGAATGATGATGAGTCTTCAGTGAATAATTTCACTAACGTGGCAGTATGACTCTGCAGTTTCAGTCTATAAAACCACTGTTATACATATTTTAGTCATCTGTTCTGCATTTGCAGTTTCACAATCAATAAAGAAGCACTTAAAGTCCTCCTTGCTCATGTTCTTGTTTTACAATTATGCTGGTCACAAATACATATGTGGTAAATCTTATATTTTTATAAAAGGAAGAGAGCTATAAAAACAAGAGAACTGACCCTTAACTGAATTTCTCTTATGAAGAGTTCTTGGTGTAAAAACATGATTTCTCAAATTAGTATTTACCCATTCACCAAATATCTTTAAGGTCTAATTCTGTTTGTCATGTGAAAGATTTCTCAGCTATCTGGTAATGCAACAGTTTCACATTTTACATCAATATATACATAACAGTACAGCATTACAGTCTTAGCATGTCTTATGATTTTTTTCTTAAACAACTTACCCAGATAACTACTAAAGATGCAGCATAATATGATGTCAATAACATTGAATTACCAAACATCAGAATAAAACACACTACAAGAGATACCTGAAAGAAGAAAATAAAAATAATTAAATTTAAAACAGAAAAGGAAAGAATTGCCCAGTTATAGAAATTACCTTGTATCAACAGCTTTAAATTTAAAGAAACCTACTTCATAGCAAGTGCAAGCTTGATACTCAGCTTACAGAATTGTTCTGAAAACACTGATAAGGACTTCATGGCAACAGGCAGCCAAGTGTAGATTATGATGTTAGTTTGTATTTTGAAAGTTCTTATAGGCAAAAAGATTTGATCATAGGACTAAGGCATCTTACGTGATATACCAGCTACGTTTTTTAAGTTTTTCCTAACATATTCTTTTGTTTCAAATTATTGTATTATTTCTCCATCCTGTCTGTTATCTTTCAGAATCCTGGACGAACATAAAAATATTGAATAAAATGTTTGTTGCCTTCTTTCTTCCAAACTGAGAAGCATATATTTAAAATATCATCATCACCAAAGTCAAGGAAGCAGATGACTGATCATACGCACTTAACTACATGAGGTTTAAAGTCAAGCCTGAAACACAACTTTTATCTGCCATCCTGATCTCCTACTATGCTTTCTTTTTAATAAGAAAGCAAGCTGAATTACATTTTCTAACTTGGAAAGAAAAATCAACCATCAATCTCTACCTTCTTCTATACACAGGAGTAAGGAAAAATAATGTAGTTATTTGTAAAATATGCAAACTTTTGTACTCTCCCCCCTCACATAGTTAGACTTTTATTGTCCACAGAAAAGGGGTGGGGGGGTGGTGAGCAAAAATTGAAAACATCACAGAACAAAAACTGGCAGTTTACCCAGCCTCATTAAGCCTTCTCTGTAATATAACATGATGGTTTATTGATCTGAAAATAGGCTTTTTATGAGACTTTGGCACCAAAATTATGATATAGCTATTGACATAAGCCAAAAGGCTTAAGTATTTCATCATGCTTCTGTCAAAAAATTACTAAACCAAGATGCTTATTTGCAAATTTTCCTGGTAAATCTGACTGGGAACAAGCATTTGGTGTCCTGGGTTTGTATCAGAAATGAGTTGTATAGAACTTACTACCGCCTTTAATTTATCATTTACAGTACTTCAAAATATGTTTGAAAACATATGAAATAGTGTAGCTCAAAGCTTCTTTCCTGTGGTAAACATTCTCTTTTTGCCCACTGAGTTTGCATAGCACAATTTTAGCATAAATGTATTTTTAAAGACAATCATATTTCTTCAAAAAAGTTGTTTACATCTTCCTGTATATTTAATACTGTAATCTCCCTTCAAAGAGCAAAACTCGTGGTAGGAAAACTTGATCATTATCTTAACTTTATTGAAAACATTGAGTTTATTTTCTTTGTCCTCCTTTCTAACTGTGTCCCCAAATAGTTCAATCACAACATCTTTGCATGGTCAAGACTACTGTAGTCTTCAAAACCCAGTTTTATTTGGGGTTCTTCTTCAGTCAAGACTTACAAACAGTAAGTTTTGACTTACTAACATCTCATTTTTTTGTTTCTACTAACCTATGGCATGAGATGAATGCTGCCTTTTCAACTTTTTATTGCTCATGCTCTATTACTTGGTATGTTTTCTAGTCTGCTGTTTGAGACAGTATCTTCAAGTGTACGGAATGAGCAGAGACAGAAAGGAGAGGCAAATATTTCTACAAATCTTTTAGGTTGCTAATTTTTCTGGAGTTCAAAAATTCCTGTGCGCCAAAAGGATCCCAGTTTCTGACAGTGTGATATAATTACACATAAGATCAAATATTCAAATCCAGGCCCCTCCGTCCCTTCTTATTGCATCTTTTCAACCATCTTGCAACTAAGGAAAACACTTCAGACAAATGGCCTCTTTTGATGCTCTGACCTGTTTGAGGGGATTTAAGTTTTTCAAAAAAAAAAAAAAAAAAAATTTACCATATGAGCAGAGAGTATCTTCTGTAATTTGCAGGAGTCAATATAACCCATAATACACACAGCAAATAATGAAGCTATCTAGAATCAAGAGTGAAATATAAGTTAAAACAATTTGCAGTGGTGTACTCTTCCTAGTAGAATACACATTCATACAAAAAAGTGATTATTCAAACAATCATAAACTAACTTTTATTGCTACTTTTTTGCTAAGTAAATACTTAGGCATTTCATAATGGTTCCTTTTAAAAAAAAACTATTGTGGTGCTCTGAATAACAATTATCAAACGTATTTGAATACTTAAATAAGTATTCAGCTTTACAAAAATGCAAGTCATCAAAACACAGCACTAACACATCATCTTTCACCCTTAGATTTTTAAAACAAAACCAAAAAATCATTCATTAACATTATTTAACCTTAACTTTTCAGCAAAGTATGGGAACATCGATAATTTGCTGCTGAGGAAAATGAGATTTATTGATTAGGTAGCAGCAAAGTCACATGGGAAATTAATGAAATTATGAATTTAACATGTAATTTCAAATTTCAGGCCCAGCATTTTAAACAGGTTATAGCAATGAGTTCCTCACAATATTTTACAAAATTTAATGGCTTCGTCTCTGCAGTTAGAAAATTTGCATACCACAGCATATATTGATTGTTCAAAACTATCAACTCAAACCAAGCAAGATCTGGTTTAAGTAGGACAGACAAATGAAAAGGTATGGAGACATAGATGGATTTCAATCAACAGGCTACATTTCAACCAATTTAACACTAAGAAAGTATGCTGTATGACAGTATCCTATTGCTTGCATTAGCATTTACTGTATTTCAACACTAGTTAAAGTTATCTCAACTGTCTGAGCTCTCAGACAGTAAGATTATGCCACTACTGACAGGCTCCTCAGAATTAAATAGGAAATCATGCACAATCATGCCAGATATTACATGCCATGCAAACATTGTTCCATTTAAAAATTTGGAATAGCCTAAAGAGATGCAAGATCAATGCCTTTTTTATTTTTGTACTTCAATATACAAAGTTTTTTCTTGTTCTGCACTTGTTCTAATGTACTGATCTTAGGCTGGAGGCTGCTTTTAAGAGAAAAGTAAATTTTTTAGTCCTGGAAACAGAAGACTGAGTGGTGTAAATGGTCAACTTCTAAACTTAAGACTAGAAAAATATTGACGGGATAAATGGTGTGAATCTTTCCTAAGAGCAAGAGTGAAATCTGGCTAAAAGGAAAGCATTAGTATAGTTGTGAATTCAATGGCTGTCTATACAAACCAGTCGATTTGCCTAGATAAGACAAAAAGGCTATTTAGAGGTGAATAGGGTCTTACCTGTGTTAGAAGAACAAACTGAGCAAACTGCCAGGGAAGCATGAAAAAGATATTAGAAACACACAGTGCAATCAAGCTTCCTGTATTAATATTCGGAATCCTTGGGAAAAAGAGACAGAATAGGCATCCGTAAGTAAAATTACACAAGTGTTTGCATATTATTGAAAAGTACAATAGAGAATGCAATAAAAACAAAGTTACCTTGGAAATTAGCTAGCAATATATATCAACTACAAATAACACTGCTCAAGTAAATTTAATATCCATTTTCCATCAGTTTCCAAAAACAATAGTTCTGATGCTTAATGTTTCTTAACTATTTCATGAGTCACTCATCAAACAAGTCTTCTCCCAGCAGCATGTAATATAGCAGCCCAACCTATGTCACTTGCAGTGGTCCACCTTCTTGTAACAACTCTACAGCCAGGTCACAACCATTTCCATTTCAGCTGGGATCACACTATTCTCAGAACAGTCTGCATTTGAAAGTGATTTCACTCCTCTCCCTCTCATTTCTTCCATATGTACTTTCTGCAACTTTCTGCTAGCGATCCTGAGTGATGTTTCAGGGCAGCAGACAATGACAAATACATGTAACTCATCTTTAACTGAAAACAGCACATTCTCTATGTCCTGGTATAAGTGTTATTTATTTAATCCTGTGTTTGCTTCAAGTTCACATCAGAAACATGTCACATTTCAAATTTCACTAAGTGGCCTCCAAAAGATGAGGACACCATAAATATTCTGCTGTAAAACCCAAACCCAAAAGATTACAGCAGTCTCACCAAATTCTGTAAAATTTTCTTCAGCTTCTTGCACAAATCCTCAATATTAACTTCTACTGGAAGTCATGCTGAGTATGAATCTAATGTATTAAGTAATACATTATACAAATGTGATACAAGTGATACAAATAATAGAGGATTTAAATTCTAGTCTCTGTTTCAAAGATAGTTCCTATATTTCATTGGAATACTGCTACACATAAAACAGAGCTGCACTTGAAGCAGGAATTATAACTGAGAAACAGAAAGTTAAAATGTTTTATCCCCTTTTTGGAATGTTGCTCTGAAATGCTTAGATTAAACACCTACTTCTCATCAGTAAGCAAGCCCAAGTACTATTTTATGTACCAAGATTTGAAGAACAGGAGTGAATCTATCTAATCAAGAAGCGTCATAATTACAGATACAGAATATATGTGCTCTGATCACTTTAACTTAAAGTGTAATTTCCTTGGGTTTTGTTTGACCTCACGATTTAGCATTAAATGAACAGGTGTCTTTCTAATATGAAATCTAGCAACGACTCTACAAACTATTCCTCAAAATATTTTTCTAGACAGCATGTATCTTTTCCTCACCTAAAAACCACAAGTCAGTGACGAGCACAAAATATTTTTGGTTTAATCATCAAGAACTACAAATCAGTATGACCTAATAAAGGAAAATTTGGGGTTACAAGTACAAAGTTCAGCTAAACCATAAATACACTGCAAATCTGATGCAATGAAGTTGATGGAAAAGCCCTCAAGTATTATCATGCTTATTTTTCAAAACAGAGGCAAGACAGTAACACAATCATGTTGCAAGCCAGAAACAACCACTGAAAGGCAGGGCTAATGAACTCAAGAGCATCCCTGCATTAATGTAATTAGATTGCTCTAAATCACTGAACTAGTTAATTAGACTAGTTAATTAGTCACAGAAAACTGCAAGAACATACTAGCTTATGGGTGCCTATAGCACCCTCTGTTGCATAGCATAGGCTTATTCTAAGTGCAACCAACATACCACTCTCCAAGAGGGACAAAACCAATTGATGGAGTACCAGCTTGTTTCTCATGAGAAGGAAGTGACATCAACCAAAAATTCTGATTTTTTAGTTTAGATACGTATTTGCCAACACAGTAATTCTGATTTTTATTTTAATCATGTCTTCAAGTTGCAAAGTTTTTCCTTTTAATAAGTGTGTAATAGGACTGCAGTTCTACTGGTGCAGTGTCTGCAATGTAACAGCCACAGGAAAGTTTTTATGTTAATGATATCATTGCTACAGTACACAGAGGCACTTGAATAAATATTTAAATAAATCCATTTAAATAAGTGTCCTGTGACATTCAGTTTTTTAAATCATTGTAAAGAGCTAAGTATAAATTAAGAGGTACCTGAGAATATAGGTCAAAAGCAACATCTGAAGCACAAGGAATGGGTATGAGAAACTTTCACGAAGAGGTGGAGTCCACATGACGCGAGTGCACTAAAAGTAAGAACTGGGTTAGATGATAACATTTACTGATACATTTCCGTAAAACAATGCATTTGTATTTCAAAATGAATGATCACAGATATATCAATGAAGCAAAAAACCAAGCTACATGAGATTTTACTCACAAACTTAAAAAAAAAAAAAAACCAAGCCAGGAACCAGAAAAGAGGAGGAAAAAGGAAGCTGCTTCCAGACTTGAGGTCTATGATGCACTGTTTAATTAAAATAGACCACTGCTTTTCCAAAATTAAGTGTGGCAGCTAGAGAACATCCAAGAAAAAAGCCAGGACAGCAGCTGCTTGAAATGAACAATTCATTCAGGTAACTAAAACCGTTCTCAAATTCAGGCAGCGACTTGCCACATTTAGACGGAGAAAGTGTGTGAGAAGAGGATCTGAAGGATAAACCAACATACTCTTCATTGTGCTAGAGTTCTCTGAGTTATAAACATTTCACATTTCTACTAGCAACAGCACAGAAAGTACAAAATCCAAAGTTGCCCTCCAAAATAGGCCAGTAAAATTGAATACACGAAATTAAGCTCTTACATAGCTTATACTAACTTACATACTTCACTCTTTAACCTTAATAAAACAAAGCATAATACAGTGAAGTCAACTGAATAGCTTTTTCATTAATTTCTTGGGGTTCATGGCAAATGGCTCAGCTATAACTGTCATCACCGTTTATATTCTGCTCACTATAAAGTGCTTGCAGGTGACACTAACCATCAAAAAAATAGTTACAGCTTCACAGGACAACTCTGACATACAAACAAAAGGGCTCAGAATGGCTGTTGATAGATTCGCACTAAAAATTAGAAGCAGGTTCTTTACAACTACAGGACAAAAACGTAGTTCATCTTAACATGAACCATAATGAACCTATGAAAGCTTGTAGGATGTTGATACCAGGATGTTCCTTCTTCACTTCCTATAATCTTGAAACCATTCTTTAAAACAGTATTTTACTAAAGAAGTCACTAGCATCAACATTATACAATTCCTTGCTTATTGTCTTGCTATTTCACAAATATGTTAAATTAAGTATAAAATAAATGTGTAGAAATAGTGTAAAATAAATGTGAAGTACAGAAGCCCATCACATTAATCAAGCTCAGCCCTTGCTGTGTAAAAGCACTCTCTGTAAAAGCTGCACCCTGATTACCATTAAAATAAACCTTTCATAAATACATATACTAATGTGTTGTCTTCAGCTGACTGCATAGATGTGATTAGTTAAAATTATTTTTATTAGCAATAAATATAATAATGATTATTCTAAAGCAGTGTAGTCCTTTTGATTATTTTTCAAGACTACAGCAACATTTGATTACCAAGTCTTCTGATACTGGACGAGATACAGACAGGAAAGAAATGATGAGTGTATACAACCATAAAAAATGCAGCATTACTTTAAAAGTAGATTGACTAATGTAGCCCATACTATTTTTCTATATTTGGAATGTAATACTAAACTCAATCATCTGTAGATGATTTATCAAACTAACTTTGCTGCAGGTATGAATACATTAGAACTGTCTAAGCTTGAAATCATTAAAATACAGTAGCACAAGCACAGCACAAATAAAAACATACTGCCTTAGGATCATCAGCTCAATGCCAGAAGGCTAACCACTTTTACACAGCATTAGATCTGAGATACCAAGATGAGACTTACTCACATAGCCCAGTCCTATCCTTCCAGAAAAGGAAAGCAAATTTTTAGCAACTGGTCTAGCTCCACTGTACATACTGTTGAACCACATGCAAGATGATTTCCACGGAATCAAAGGCATATCAAAGAGTTAAAAAAAAAAAAAATAGTTTTTCATACACACAGACGTGTATGCACACCCCTTGCATGTGATTCAACAGTATGCACAGTGAAGCTAGACCGCCTACATACATGTAACTACATATATTACCATAACTCTATATACACAATAATATCAAACAACTCTGAGTTATTTCGTTGGGTACAGTACAAATGCAAAGACCCAGCTAAGATCTAACACTGCACCTCTGCAAGTAAGTCCTATCGCTCTCCAGAAACCTATAGAGCTGAACCTGAATCATGGTCACCCTACTTAAGCTCTACCTAAGCCCAGACTATGCCTGTGTAGAGCCATGCAGACTTAATTTCATGCCATTCTCCAAAATACACATATTATCTGTGTTTTTCCCCCAAGTCAATTCATCCATAGAGAGAGATGAGCTCTCCTACAGTCTCCTACAGATAGGAGAACTGCCTGTGCCATAGTGAATAAATGCTTCTTTTCATTATTGCTACCACTATCTTTGAAGTTTTCAGCTTGTTCCTTTCTGAAGTTACACTTTATCACCTTCACAGACTCGGCAAAACAGTGCGTACTCTATCGATATTTCCTAGCAAAGGATAAAACATTCCCTTCGCTTCAGAATGCCATTAAGAACAATAGAAACCCACACAAAACTTTGTATTTACCCTCTTATAGCACCAAAAAGTGTTTAGAAACTCTGTAACATTTACCTGGTCTGGACCAGGCAGTTAACATCCATGGGTGAAAATTCTTCACGGAAGATATTTAGAGAAAAACATTTCAAATTAAACTTAAAAATAAAATAGCTACTTTGTCACACAGATTTTTGTTTATAAGAAAACTGTCAAAGCTCACTATGAATAGGAGCATCTTTGATTCTGTTATGTGCAACTACATATTCTTACTACTCAGTTTTCTATTAAGTTCAGCTCAGTAAAATAAGAAAAAAACCCATAACTTTAATCCTTAACAAATCATAAGGTAGCTAGTTTCCACCGAGACAATCTTTACAGTACAGCTGCATTTTAAGTAAAATAATACAAATATTTACATAAATTTATATACATAAAATGAACATTAAAAAAACCAGAAACTGCCCAAGGGTATCACAAAAAAAGCCATGAGTTTTCTTTCAAAATATGAAACAATGACATGAACAGCATTAGCTGGGGACATGGGGGAATGTTTTAAGTGACAGCTGCTTTTTTTTTTTCTCTAATGCAGCTTACTAAAGTAGTTTAGCATTGCAATTGTCTATATACATATACAGTTTCTAAATTCTGTGCATCTTGGCTATAATATATCGGTACTACAGAGGTCTCTTTGCCTTTTTTTATTGTGTGTGTGCACATGTGCACACACATTCATCACTTCCCAGTAAAATACATAGCAATTTAAAGAAAACCTCCTCCATTTCTGAAGCTTGTTCATATGGTACATGTAGACCAGTTATGTCTGGAATGGGCACAAAAATAGAATATTTTGATGTTTTGAAACTTGAAGTCATTGTGCTACTAAGATTTCAATCTCAGGACCACTTTACAATGTATTTCCTTTCTGAGTTTTTTTTAACATCTAAGGTGACACACTGGACTGTGCTATACATTTTTGAGTCATAGCCTATTTTGCTTTCAATAGGGTCTTCTTCCCTTTAAACTCATCCCCTAATAGGTAAGCAACATCACTGTCTTTAATGAATTGAGAATTAGGTTAAAGTTAAAAAAAAAAAGAGGGTGGGGGTGGTGTTGGGGAGGGAGACCTACCTCTCCATGGTTGAAAAAGAAACACATCACAGTAACAAGGCCTCCTAGACGGCTCCCACTGTGAAAAGAACAGGAAAAATAGGTACAACAGAATCTCATAATGGTCAAAAACGCTTAAAAAATGTGAAACGGCACTTATATACAGCTAAGTTTATTGGGGGGGGGAATGGTTTCAAGCATCAAGGGAAAGCAATCTACAGTGTACATACAATATTAAAAAACAAGTTAATCAGCTAATGTTTATTACAGAGCAGACCACTCTTCATATACCAGTTCTTTTCTGCAGAACACCAATCTTAACATAAATAACTTGGAAAATACTTATTCCACTCCTCACAAACTTTGGTTTAGATCATTACATCTGATGCTTTATCTGCTGTACCCAGACCTTGGTCTTGAAAAGTGTCAATTTTTTTTTTTTTTTTAAACACTAGGCAATATAATAATGGAGCATTTCTTCCCTAAGACATTGAGCAGAAAGCTTTAGAATTTGCATGCTCAATAACCCAACAGTGAATTTTGGTCTGAATCTAAGCCTATGTCAGGGTAATCAAATCAAGCACATTCAAAAAACATATTTAGAAATTAATTCGTAACACAGTCAATGCAAGATACTATTTAATTCTTATGTGAAATACTGCAATGTTAACATGAGAAAATTTTTTAAGTCCTTGACTTAAGCATTTTTATACATTTCTAAATCAAATTCACCTGTTCAATAATTAGCACCATGGAGTCAACACTAAAACCAAAGATACTACTTAGATTTATCCCATCTCAAAACAGCAATAGATAAGGTTCCTATTTGTTTGACTAGATTTGTAATTGCTCATGTCCTGTGATGTAATGCAAAGAACATTTTTGTGCACACCAGTGCACTACTACTATGAATGACAGAATATACTATCTTTGCTACCAAACAAAAGTATCAGCCAGCTGTTAAGATTCTTTAAAAAACCAAACAAACTTCCGATCCTCTCAGATCCTTCACCCATCACTAATATCCAAGTCAAACAGAACCAGTGAGTTCTGGGTACAAAGTCTGAGGATTAAAGATACCAACTGAGTGCTAAAACAATCTCCAGGAGCTATGCATTCTTGCACATAAAACTCAACCTTTCATTCCACAAATTCTAAAAACATCAACACCGAAACCCAAAATGACTAAAAGGATGTGCTTAGTATTAAAAAATGTTAGTCTTAGAAACAAAGCAAACTAAAAATTTGAAAAATACCATCCAAAACCAGAAACAAAATTCAAGGTCTATGCTAAAGGTTAACATTGTGATAAAACCTTAAAGTCTAAAATACAAAGGTCTTAATTGTATTATGAATGCTTTAGAGCTGTCAGCCTCTATAAGGGATCACTATTTCACCACATGAGAAAAGATCAGTGAATCTGTAGCACGGAATAAGGAAAT